CATTGCAAATTGATGAATGATGGTCTGGTTTATACATCTTCTTCTTATGAGTTTGTTTAATATGAGTCATTCCCACAAATCTGATGAATTGAGAAGAGTTTCAAGCTAAAGGAAGTTGAGGATCAAACTACAGAGGACAGTGATCCCCTCCAACATATCAACAGCCTGTGACTAGTCAGCCAGCTCCTCTCTCGATGAATATATTTACCTCACGGTATCCCTTAGACCACAGGACACCTAATTCAGGAAACTGTTCCACAGTACTTTTTTTTTTAAAGTTTATCTATTTTTAGTAATCTCTTCACCCCACAAGGGGCTCGAACTCACACCTGGAGATCAAGAGTGGCATGCTCTTCTGACTGAGCCAGCCGGGAGCCCCTGCTCTACAGTGAATGACATTCTCTTTGGATACCCACTATGGCCCCACTGTCACCACCTGCTTTCTTAGAGATCTTGGTTGTTAGAATACCTTTTCTTAAATTGGAATTAAACATGTCACCTTATAACTTCTACCTCCTGGTTCTTTCACAAAATATCACAAATGTTTTTGTGCGACTAGGCTGTTTAGCCTCAGTTCCTGTGAAGGAACTTGGTGATGGAGCCAAGCCTCTCACTCCCCTATTGTTCTCCAAGCTTTCCAGTGTCTTTCTTGAAAACATGATCCCCCCTGAATCTGGTCAGTTCACTAGCATTATTATTTTTGAGACATAAGATATTGGTGCAGCAAAAGTTTGTTATTTCTTTCAGCAGCTGCATCGCACTTGTTGGCTCATATGCTTCAGATAAAATGCCTTCACCTCAGTGCATTTCCCCTTCCTTTTGGGTTTGAAGCTGTTGAAATGAAACACACATTGGTAAGGCTGTGGGTTTACTACCGTGAGCTTATCCACACACACCCCCCCCAACCCTTGGTGAATGCTATTTCTGATCAATCTGAGGAAGAGGGTTCTTAGCTCAGGACTCATATCCAGAGTCGTTTCAAGAATTCAGACCTAAGCAGTGAATGAGTTTATTTTTCTTAGAAAGAAAGAGAGAGAGAGAAAGAAACAACAAAAGATCTACCTTTCTCTAGGAGAGGAGCCATCACGAGAGAGCTGGGGAGGTGTTTTTCTCATTTTTATCTCCTAGCACCTGGTTGGGTAAAAGGCACTCAGCATGGGTTTGATGAATCTAGCCAACGAGACTAATTTCAATTGAGAGAGAGGAAAGAGAAAAGAAAAGAAAAAAGAAGGGAAAGGAGAAGGGAGAAGAGAGAGTATTTTGCTCAAGGCTGTTTTTCCTTCTGGTTCTAGAATATAAAAATGGCATACATAGTAAAATAGTTTAACCAAACCTGGGCTTGGTTTCTCTCAGAACCCCCGACACATTCCCCGATGAATTTTTCCTGTCATCTTGAATCCCTTCCACAAGCCCAAATTGTCTTCAGCACTAATCTGCCTATTTGTTGTTGACTTAATCAGGAAAAAACTTCCTATCACTCCTTCTCCCCCACCCTGTCCCTCAGCCCCTCAACACCCTCATTCTCTGCATTTGCCCCACCCTCCCCTCCCCCCTTCCCCAGTGCGCAAACCCACACGGGTTTCAAGTTTAGGATTTGATGTTGTCACTGCCCACAGACATTCGCAGGGACAACTTTGAGAGGCCATGTGCTTGTCCCCCTTAGGAAGTGGGAGAACTCCCTGCAGCTCGGTTTTGTTCCAATGGTCTGTTCAGTGAGTGATTCCCGTTTCCCCAAAGGCTGCCCCTCATTAGCATGAACGGGGGTGGGGGTGTGGAGAAGGGGTGGGGGGAGAGAAAGAGCAAAAGCCCAGGCTCAGTTTTAGAGCCTGGGAACCGTGTCTACGAAAATGACAGCTAGAGCTTTCTGGCTCCTCTGTTTGATCGTTGGATCATCTCCCGAAGCCCCAGTGGCGGAGAGAAAAGGTAAGATCGGCGAAATGCTGAGTCCTGGGAGAGGAGCAGGGCTGGGGTGGGGGGTGGGGGACGGGGGAGAGGGCGCGCTGAAGGGCGGGACAAAAAGGGGTCAGAGCGTGCAGGAGAGGGGACTCGGGTCCGTGTTCGTGTTCGAAAGGAGCCAACTGTGTCCCCAAGATTTTGTGTGTCCTGGCAGCCTTTTCGGAAAGAAGCCAGTTCAGCTACTGAAATGATCTCGAGCGAGCCGGGCAGGCTGGAGAAAACTTTGCATGTTAAGTAGTTGCTCCATCACAGAGGAGGGAAAGTGTCAAAAGGGGTCGCGGCGTGCCTTTCGGGCGCCGTGCGGGCCGGGCTCGCAGGACGCGGCGGGCGGCGGGCGCCGGGAGGAGCGCGGGGTCCGCCCTGCGCGGGGGCCCGGGTGCAGCGGGCGGTCCGGGGCGCTGGGTGCGCCCGCCGCGGCTGAGGGCGAAGGGGAGCCCGAATCGGACATTTCTCCCCTCTCGCGGCAAGCCCCAGCGAATGGCCCGGGGGATACCTGAGTCTTTAACACACACATACACACACACTTTCGTGCATGAGACGAAAATAAGTTACGGAGGGAATGAAATAATGAAATAGGGGATTCTCTGCGGGGAGAGGTTTTTGTTTTGCTTTGATTTGGATGTTCTTCTGCTCGATTCACTATCTCTGGGAAAAACAGCTTCCGCACCTCACAGGGCAATTTACTTTGGGTTATTTTTCCACATGGAAATCCAATGACTTCAGTGGCATTTAACCCAAATATCAGACAATCTTTCCCATGACAACAGATGGTGATATCAATGGGGAAGCAGTTGTGAGGTCAACAGTTGACAGGAATTGGATATCTACCAGAACTTTATTCAGCTGTGTATGGGACAACGTTGGACATAATGAGTCAGAATCAACCTCTCTGCAAAAACATGAACTATAACCAGCTATTATTGCTGGGTGAAAGCTGATTTTAAAGGAGATTGTCAATTGGGCAAGATAAATCACTTTAAATGAAGTGTTGAAAGAGCTGCGAGGGGGCAGACCAAGCTCTTCGATGCAAGAGGAGAGAAATGCGGAAAACCAGCCGTTGAGACAACAGAAAAAGAAAAATAAAGACAGGTTCTTGTGCCTCTTTGGAGGGCACTGGGACCCAGGCAAACGGGGAGGTGATATTGTGTAACTGTGCATGGAAAGTTGCCCAGCTTCCAAGCTGGCTGAAGTTTGCTCACTAACCTGTCTGCAGAGCTGGGGAAAATCACTAATAATTTAAAAAATTTGTTTTCATGCCGTATCATTTAAGAGAATTTTTTCTCCATCAGGGAAGGGGGAAATGTAAGTGGTGTGGGTGTGCTTTCATACTCAACCAGGGGCCTTGGCCTCCCAGCCATGCTTTAAAAATCTTCCTTAGCTGTAGTTTACTAGTAAGTGGTGTCCAAGAAGTCAGATAAAAATCCACTCACAGAGACCAAGATGACAGTGTAAACACGGATGGGAAAACCAAATAGCTGTTGTCAGGGGCGCTTAAACAATTAGGAGAACCTGTAATATGAGACCTTTCCCCCTGGGGTTTGCTCTTGGTACTTTCTCAACAAATTGTACATAGCAAAAAGGCGGATGTTTATATATATATATATATTAAAGAAACGGCAAAAAGAGTTTATTTAACCACAGTTGACAGTTGTGTTTAGTCCTAGAACAAATAGGTTGTTGCAATTTTAAAAGCTACAGATTTGAAAAGGTTCCTTAAGAAATGTTCCCATGTGGTGAGAAAATTTTTCTTAGTTGGCCTCATTCTTAGAGGGCAAGACGCTCATCTAAGTCTTTCCCTGGGGCCTAGGAAACCTGTGCTCCACTCGGACCCGAAGCGGAGTGGCGCACAGGGGCGCCTTCCTTACCACAGGGGCGCCTTCCTCTCCCCCTCCCGTTCCTTTCCCATCACTTCCAGGTCTCCCGGCCTCCCCCCAACCCCCCCATCGCCCCTCTCGCAGGTGCTTGCTAAGTTTACATTGTCCCCATCTCCTCTCCCCTCCCAGAGCCCTTTCTTCGCCCGCCCGCCCATCTGCCTCTCCGACCCTCCGCCCGCCTTCCCCCCCCCCCCAACCCCCCCCGCCTCTCCTCTCCTCCCCACTCGGCCTTCCCTGCCCTCCCCACACTCGGCTTCTCCCCTCCCCTCCCAGCCTCTCCTCCCCGGACGGCCTCCCCGGCCTCTCCCCTTTTTTCCCCTACAGCCTCGCCGCCCCACAACAGGAAGCCCGACCCCGGCGGCGGCCCGAGTGCGGAGGAGACGCCGGGGCCCCGGGCGCAGTCGGTCCCTGAGGTCCCGCGGAGGCCGCGCGCAGCCGAGGCCGTTCCCCGCGCTTGGTCCGACCCGCGACGCCGGAAACCCCCGCCGCCCGCCGAGAACCGGGCCGGCTTCCGGGAGGCCGCGCGCGCGCCCGCCGGCCCACCGAGCCCCCGCCTCGCGCAGGCCGAGAACCGCGCCTCGCCGCGCCGCGTGCCCGCGCTGGAGGACTCCCCGCGGCGCTCACGCGCTCGGGCCCTGCGCTTCCCGGCCGCGCGGCCGCCCGCGCGCGCCGCCGAGGCTCCCGCCGGCCCCGCCCACCCCAACCGGCCGCGCGCCGCCGCACCGCCCCCCGGGCCCGCGCCCGCGCCGCCGCCGCGTCTCAGCCCGCCGCAGAGGGACGCGGAGCCCGGCGCCGAGCCCTGCGCGCGCGTCTGCAGGGTGGACCTGGACGAGCGCGAGTCCTACTGCGCGAGCGAATTCGGTGAGCTCCGCCCCGCAGCTCCTCCCGGGCCCGGGCTGCAGAGCCCAGGCCGCGAGGCGAGCCTTTCCGAGCCCAGAGCGCCGGGCTGTGCTCGCGGACTCCCCTAGGGCAGACCCTGGAGAAACCCACTCACTTGATCCTGCAGTCCCCAGACCCATGTGGACTATTTCGTGATGTGTGCAAAACTCACTAGGAAGGAGAGGAAATGAGCGTTATGCATTTCTCCAAACTCTTTGTTTTTTGAAAGCAGCAGTGAACGGAATCGTGCATGACGTGGACGTGCTCGGCACAGGGATCCGGCTGGTGACTCTGCTGGTGGACCGGGACGGGCTGTACAAGATGAACCGCCTGTACATCACTCCGGACGGGTTTTTCTTCCGAGTCCACATATTAGCCCTAGACTCCTCCAGCTGCAATAAGCCATGTCCAGAATTTAAACCTGGTATTGAAACTGATCTCACTACTTTATATACGGACTTTATGCCACCACTTATAACTTGGATGCCATAGCCCGGTCTGTTTGTTACCCCAGTACCGTTTTTTTGAGGAGGAGTAGTCTAAAATGAATAGAATTTAGACGACAGGTATTATTTCCGCCACTCCGATTTACGCTCCATCAGCCTCCCGGTGCCTGTGGTTAAAGGTGGGAACAGCATGGATTGACACAAAGCGGGCCCTCATATATTTGTTGATTAAGTGGAGTGAGCGACGAAACAAGGTTGCTAGAGGGACACAGAAGAGGCTTTTAGAAAAAGTTTAGCATGGCCTTTTTTTGGAGGGGGTAAATACCCACTCCCGCATCTTTCTAGAGGTGTGCTCTGAAAAATCCTCCTGATACATTGTGATTAGGACCTTTGTTCTGTGATGTTGTCTGGTTACAGGTTGATTATCTGGTTATCTTCTGAAGGTCACTAGACTGTTTCCACCTGTTGTTTGAGGGTGCAATGTCTGAGATTTAACATGTGCAGCAAGATAATAGATTCAAGCTTAGGCATTCCTTGCCGGCCTTGCATTTTCTTACTGTTTCTTGGCATTTAAAAGACACTACGAGTTTACATTTTGGTTACTTTTTTTCAGGCAGCAGGTATATTGTGATGGGTCACATCTACCACAAGAGACGGCAGCTCCCTACATCTCTGCTCCAGGTCCTGCGGGGACGGCTCCGACCAGGAGATGGACTGCTCAGGAGTCCCAGTAGCTATGTGAAGAGATTTAACCGAAAAAGGGATGGGCTAGTTCAAAGTGCAATTCACACCCAGTGCGTTTGAAATGTACTACCCTTGCACTGCTGGATTGTAAGAGACTTGTTGCATTCAGCATCGAGACAGGACAGGTCTGTCTTCACGGAATGGGGTCTTCCTGTGGAGTAGGGCACACAGCTCCTTCTGGAACTGATTGTGTAGTTCCAACTCTAATGTTGAAGTTGCCACTTTCTTATTTGCAAAATGCCTCTTCAGTGGTATGCTTCTGAGTTCCCTGGCAAAGATATTCACACAGCTCAGGTAACTGACCTGTCCAGTTAGCAGATCACTGCTTCATGGGGTTTATTTTTAATTAATTTAAATACATTCTTCAGTAGAAATAGTTCACACACACACAAAAATTTCCTTGATTTTAAATATACAACTCTGAATAGGTTATATCACATATCAAACCAAGTTTCATACTAAAACCATCACATTTTAAATTCTGTACAGAACAGTGCACTAGTCAAAAGACATTGTATGAAATGTCATTTAGATCAAACACTAGGGTCAGAACTCAAGACAAGTATTACAGTTTTACACTTAGAGTACTAACGGGCTTAATTCGAGCAAAATATTATTCGAACAAGTGTTCCTGATGTACCAAAATGTAAGAAATAGTTTATTTTTTGCCTCCCTGCTCCTAAAAACATATGTTTTGTGCCAAACTGGCAACTATCCCAATGCTAAACATATTCTGGGTGTATCTGATGTCATTTTTCTGTTAAGACCAAGTATCGTGTTTGTGTTCGTAAAGTAGTAAATCTTGCCTTGAAATCAGATCTTGGATGCACCTGGTTTTTTTAGCCTCACGGAGCCCTAAAGGTTTGGGAAAAAGCCTTTCTCAAACTTACTCCAAAAACCCTGGAACCAATATTCAATGACAGCTTGCAAGTATGTGAATTTTAAACATGTTTTCAGTTGCTTTGGAAAAGGTTTAATCATTAGCTGAATTTAATACTGATTTTATACTTGAATCCACAAAGACATTAACAGTTTTTTTAGAAGACCAAGCTGTGTTATCAGTTAATTTGAAACACGTGAATAGAGACACAGATCATCCACAGCTGAAGATTACTGCCTAAGGAAAGATAAACAGAACTGTACCAAAGAGGAAAAAAAAACAGCCTATTCTGGTCTCAGAGGAGAGGCACTCAGGGAGCTCAAGATGTGTCTTTAGGTAGTCTTTGGCCATACAGAACAGAAGCACAATATACCTAAAGGATGTTAAGGACAGGACAGTCGAGCCTCCACAAGGAAGCTAGTAGCAGTAACATTAAGACATAACATCTGATTGTGATGGGCGATACCCTCATTTGTCCCAAACAGGGGGCAAAGAGAGAAAATAACATTTGAGAGCTTCTCACTGTTCTGTGGTAAAGCATTACTGAGGGATTTTTAGAGAATTTTCCAAAAATGAGTCTTGCCCAAACTTACTAAAATCATGCTAGAATTGCTTCTTGGGAATGAATCAACTGCATTCATTATAACACGAACTATTGGCAGGAGAGTAAGCAGAGATTGAAGAGCTTCTGGCATTTTTTTTTTTGGATAAACATTAACTGAGGTAATAAGTAGCACCAGGCACAAAAACCAAAGCCGAATTTTTAAATGTGAAAAGACTAAGTGGTGATCTTGAAGAACATGGTGAAGAAAACTGCAAAATGGCCAGATAAACAATTGGTTGGATGGTCGCCAAGTTAGGACGTGAAGGGAAGAGTTAAACTGCTTTTCCGTAAGCCCGAGGGCGAAGGTTTGGTGAGACCACTTTGACGATGCTCCGTTTCTGAGGAGCTGCAGAATCACACGCAGGGACAGAATCCTGTAGTGGGCCAGAGAGCTGGAGTCTGTTACGTGAGTGTGTTCACACGGGCAGACACAAGCAGGCCAGCTTTTTATAAGCTGCCCCATCAGAGTTATGGCCATCATTCAAGACCAGGTCGAAAGGAGAGACAGGTGAGGCTCAAAAGAGGCAGAACAAGGGTGGGCGAGGGGGTGTGTGCACAGGACGCAGCAATAATCCCGGGTTAGGCAAAAAAGGTTAAGAAGAATCTCATTTTCAATGTTCAGTCATTACGTTGGATACAATCTTTAATTTTATGGAAAATTTTAAGTAGCCAATTCATCGTAGTTCCTATACCTTTTGTCCTACTGAAAGATTTTTTTTTTAGCACATGGATTTGTGCTCCAAAGACTATCAAAGGCTGTATGCTTGTGTAATAGTCCCTCATCAGTAAAATACTCCACTGCCTTCAAGAGGAACTCAGCAGCATCCCTCCTTTGAATTAAGCTGTTAGAACTCAAGAAAAAAGTACTTGTCTTGCTTTTAGGTCTATACAAAATATATACCTTTATTTGGTACTAACTTTTTAAGTTTTTAAAGATATCGCTTGGCACTGTTTATATTTCCCTTCAATCTTTTTTTTTTTTTTAAGATTTTATTTATTTGACAGAGACACAGCAAGAGACAGAACACAAGCAGGGGGAGTGAGAGAGGGAGAAGCAGGCTTCCCGTGGAGCAGGGAGCCCGATGCGGGGCTTGATCCCAGGACCCTGGGATCATGACCTGAGCCGAAGGCAGACACTTAACCAGCTGAGCCACCCAGACGACCATCCCTTCAATCATTTTTAAGGCTGATCAAAAACACGTATATGTAAACACCTAAAAACTGACCGAGCAACTGCCACCCAATTTCAGGTCCAGAACCTTATCATTTAAAGCTTCTCTTTAGTTGAATTTGGTCTAAATTGGATCAAATGGGGGTGTGATCTTAGAAGAAATGTCTTTTTCGGTAGCTTACTCAAAGTATCCAGAAGTAACCTCAGAATATTTCAGATTATTAAAAATACTTCTCAGCTGGCTCTTTACCCCCAAGCACTCACAAGACACTGCTCTGTCCATGAGATAGCACCATTCTCACTTTCGGGATGAGAAACTGGAGGCTTCCAAGGAACAGCCTCAAATCACAAAGAGTGGGAGCCAGGATAACTGCGCAGCTCTGTCTAGTTCAGCCCGTCCGTCCGTGCGCATTTTAAAAAGGTCACCACCAGGCTGGCTCTCTAATCTCAGAAACGCACAACAGATGAATACCAATAGGGAAAGAACCTCAATTTACAGATTCTGGGAAGGTAGATTATAAACAACAGCAAATCTCAGGGTGTCTAAATAACACTCCAGGCCATTTGAAATATAAAGAGACAATTGTTTTACTTTGGAAAAGATCTCTAAAAGTTCACAATTTTTTTTTTCTTTTTAACCTATTGCAGGACATTAACTAAAATACAAATCCTGCAGACTCTGGATGGGAGAAAAAAGCCTTACCAGTATTATGAAAACACTTATTAAGAAAGGTTTTCAAGGATTGTGAACTTCACAGATGAAACATAACAAGCACCGATAATACTTTTAGTCAAGGAAATCTGATGCAAAGTACAGGTATTTACAAGTCTAAAGACTGGATAGAAAAATCCTAACCGCATATCACAAATGTGCATTCTACTACTTGGATTATTCAAAGTAAAAGAGCTGTGATATGTATATCTTATTGACTAGCAGGAGCTTGTCAAAGAATACTCATTGAAAAGCAGCTTTCGAAACTCATTATGTGTTATAAGAATGTTTCCCAAAAATTACTTTTGAAATAAGACTAAAGCTCTGTAGTTGATAAAACTGTAAAATGTCTATACGGTGACAGAAATTGCAAAAGGCTTTATACTATTAAATACACATATGAAATTAATTTCTTCCTGGGCTGAGGATTCCCATAAAATTTACCTTTTTTGGTACAATTTGGCAATGCCAATGGCTACAGAAAATATATCAACCAACCAAACCACTGTTTCATTAGAAACTGCACCAAATCCAATGTCAAAAACATTACTTTATTTTCTAGGATGAAATGTCCTATTACGTACAAAAAGAATTGCTGTTTAGAATTTGCCACAATCTGTTAAAAACATAGCAATCTATTGCCTACAGATAGGAAAGTTCTTGCCGCAACAAGTTTTAAATGATTAAGCCCATATATATCTATCTCTCTCTCTATATATATGAATAAATAGTACAGAAATACTGTGACATGACGAGATGCAGAATGATTTTATCATTCATTAAAATGTAGGATTCTTGCATCAGCACAGTGCATACAATAGGTAACATTTTTTTTAAAAGTAAAAGGACAAAATAACCTGTATTTGACTATTTCCATGTTAGTATTTTAAGCAAAACTTTGTTTCCATGTTTTCATATTGAGCAATTAGTCTCTTTAAGTTTGTAAGCATAGGTTTGTAAGTGACATTTTTAGGTACAGAAAGGAATGGACTTCATGAGATAAAACTAACCCAGAATAACCTGCACACCTGAGTCTGTGATAAGGAAGAACTGGGAACTGGAGCAACATCTTTCTTTTAAGAAACTAAGGTCCGGGAAAGGTTTTGCATAGCAGGGTGATATTAAACAGAAGGAAACTTCTTAAAAACATGATTTGACAAATTCCAGAAACTGGCAGGACAAAGCTAACATGAATTAGTGCAAAATCTAGTAAAATTTTTGCAAAGCTGCATAAACCAACTATGGCAGATCTTACAGAAGCTGTTATTACAAAGCGGTAGGTAATACAACATGTAAGTTTAGAACACCGAAAGGAAAAACATGCAAAATACACCTTCTTCTGCTGACTCCATTTTGCCCCTACTGCTTACACTACTTTTTCTTATGTGGGAAAAACCCCCAAACAACTCAGCCAACCAACAAAAAATACAAAATGGATGAAGTAATTTAAAAAATGCCCTTCATAAAACAGAAGCAGCTGTCTGTAACTGATAATTTGCCTGGTATTATATACTGTACAGATGAAGGCAATGTGTATTTTGCCACATCACCCTTTAGTATGATCAATTGATGCAACAGGATTAGCACCCCTGAAGGTTCTTCTTTGATGTGATGACAGTGGGCTGGGAATTATAAAATGAAGGGCCACTACTATCCTCAGGAAACCCAGGTACACTTAAATCCTTCAGCCTGTTATTTGCCTTGCAGCCCTCCCTTTCCCCTCAAAGGCTTACAGATAATCATTAGCGCACATTCAAAGACACCATCTGTGGGAGAAAAATGATCTCCATTTATTTTGTTTCATATACATCCATAGTTGAATTTTAATACAAAAAGAAAAAAATTAGAATCTGACAAATGTTTACAAACAAGATACCTTCAAATAGATTTTACTCAGTTTAGCCTGGTGCAGAGTAAATGACAAACTGTACTGTTATATTCAAGGCAACAGAGTCTGTAGTCCAGGACTACTTAGCCCAACCTTTATGCAAGCTTAATTTTTATCTACCATGAACAATAAACTCATTGTTGATTCCCAGTTGTGTGTGTATGTGTATGTGTGTGCACATGTGTACATAGCAGCTCCTTTCATAGAAAGAAAAGACATCTAGAGGTCGTCTTGTACTTTTACCTACAGGAATCATGATAAGATACAGAATGGATTACATGTAACCGGGGCTGGATTTTATAAGAAAAAATAATTAGCTGACAAATGAGGGCAGCAATAAAAAAGCGTCTTTTTTGCAACAATAAATAAATACAGTCAAAAGTTTTCTGTGAGACTCTAAACCAGCTTCTTCACTGAAGAGCAGACGTGGCATTTCCATGGAGTTACACTTGACCCCATATTATCTTTTTTTTCTTGCTTTCTTTTTTTTTTTTTTCCAATAAACAAAGTTTTCCCGCTTCTGCCACAAGAGTAAAACCATTTGATCTTGACAAGATAATG